CCAAGAGACTGAAGAAAATTAAAATGATAATTTTTGTGTAAATTAAGATTTAAAATGCTGTAGACAGTCATCAAGAACAATTTGGTGTAAAAAATAAGTGGAACTTGCACACATAAATACTTCTATATAAATACTTCTACATAAATTCAAAATCTAACAGCAGCTTTTTGATGGATAAGACAGCACATCATTTTGACAAGGTTTCATGTCTCAGCTTGACTCTGGTTTTCAACCATAGCTTCCCTGAAAACTGACATCTCCCACTGAGATATTATTCCAATCTAATATCAGAACAGTATGCACTATGAGTTGTTTCTTCAATGGTTCTAAGGTACTCGCCAAACTGTCCTGTCCTTGCCTATGGTTAACCAGCCCTCTGAGGTCTTACTAAAGGGCATGCTGGAAATACGGCTTCTGAAAAATCTCTTTAAGATGACACCAACACAGCCACTGTCCAGAAAGTTATTAAAAAGCCATAAAACAGTCATTGTATATTAGCTCCAGAGATCACTAAGAGAAAAATTTTAATGCCTAAAGAGGAATAGCAACTGAAGAATGGCAACTGGCAAGCCACATAATAGAAAAGTAGAAGCTGCCACCACCATTTACCCTATGCAGGCCAGCTATTTATTTCAGAGAGGAAGGGAGAGGAAGAGAGAGATAGAAATATCAATGATAGAAATATCAATAATGAAAGAGAATCATTGATCATCTGCCTCCTGCATCCCCCACACTGAGGATAGAGCTTGCAACAGGGCGTGTGCCCTGACCTGGAATTGAACCGTGACCTCTCGGTTCATAGGTTGACACTCAACTACTGAGCCACACTGGCTGGGCCAGGCCAGCTCTTTGTAATATTTGTTTCAAGGCAAATGAAGTCACAGAGTGATTGATAGTTGAGTGTGACAGGGGGCGGCACCCCAACCCCCCAATTGGCCCTGCTCTGAGCCCGACCAGGGGCTGCACCTAGGGATTGGGCCTGCCCTCTGCCACCCGGGAGCGGGCCTAAGCCAGCACGTCGTTATCTCCCGAGGGGTCCCAGACTGTGAGAGGGCACAAGTGAGGCTGCGGGACCCCCCCCCCCCCGCCGCCAGTGCACAAATTTTTGTGCACAGGGCCTCTAGTTTTGTTATAAAATACAATAATTTATTAAGGTAGCTTACTGTGAATCAATCTAAGAAAATTATAAAGAAAGTTACTGGTGCATAGATAGGAAATATATTTATTAGAAATAAAAATCTTATATGTAATTGCATTAGCTGAAGTAATAGCTTACTGATGTATTTATGACTTAGGAGGATTTTTCCTCTGATGTCATTAGATATTTTAAGTACGTTTTATGTCAAATAGAAAAAAAAAACTTCTGAGAAGAAAACAATTGGATTTTGAAAAGAAGCCCCAAAAGCCAACTTCATATAAAATGTAAGCAAATGTCAAAAAAGTTGCACCAAAATGAAAACATAATTGTAAACAAAAGGGCACCTTATAGTGGACATTTGCAAAAGGAAAGTAACATCACTAAGCCCCTAATCATATTAATACTCATCTGACACTGGGACAAAAAAGAAAACCTTAAAACAAATGAAAATGTATCCAATCTAAAAAAAACTTCTGGAAGCTACAAATTCAAAGGATATTTTTACTGGACTTGTCCCGTGCTTTGAAGTAATCAATTAGAATTATTTTTAAGCACAGTCTTTTATAATCCTTCAGAATGAACCATTTGATGTTTGATAGGGAATATGCATTTTACCAGAAGGATGGAATACACTGTCCTTGGCCGAGATGTTCCTCATGAAGAAGGCAATTTTTGTATTGTATGCTTAGCATATTTAAAGACACACATTCCAGGTGAGCAGCCTGCTCCAAAGTGCATTCAATTTTTATTTGTGGATAAAATTCTATTGCTTCAGAGCCCCCACCATTTGGCAGATCATATTTCAATATTCCCCTCAGGAACCAATTCCCCAACAATTTCTGGAGATCTTTTTGCAGGTAACTTTTATGTCAGGTAAACTGACAGTTGTCATGACCAGAAGACAAGTGTGGCACCATGACATTATAGAAGATTTTTAAAGTATGCAAAAATATAACAACTGAATTCTATCTGGTTTAAAAGCAAAACCAGAAAAATACCTCTGAGCCCTATGTTGACATAAAATGAACTAATACAGGAATATAAAAACAATTGGGACATTCAAAGAATAGGGTGTTCCACCTATGATTTTAAAGTCTATCAAAATTTAACCATAGAAATGAAGTACACTAGTCTAGTCACTTAGTTATTTTGATATTAACTTTTCTAGGCTAACTTCTAATAAGAGAAATTGTGATGGTAAATTGACTAGAGAATAGCTAATTTGGAAAGGAGAGGTGAAGGTCACCGGAGGTTCCAGAATTTCTAAGATCCAAATTGCTAATACTCAGACAAACTGATTGCCTTCCTAAATAGTGCCCAGATGGCAGAAGCAACACTTATATGTGGTCTTAGCTGTTTTATGACAGGGAACAATCACTAGTAGGTGACCCCATCAGTCTAAAGGCAGGAAAATTACTAAATGATGCAAGAAAATGCCTACAGGCCAGTAGAAGCAGGAGGGCAGAACCTCAGGAAAAGCAAATTTACAGTTGGAGTTCTATAAAGGAGGCTGTGATACTTCTTCTTTGCTGATAGAAGAAAATAAAAGCAATTTAGTTTCCACAGATAGTAAGTCTAATAAGAGAAGAAACAAATTCTCTTTGAGAAAATATGATATCATATATAAAAGGCAAGGCAAACGGCATAATCTCTTGGTAATAAAATAGACACCAAAGTGAGCTGTGTGTTCTATGAACACAATCTAGTCTGGAATCAACTGTAATAGTATGGAGACATTATCTCTCCCACACAACACCAGTCAAAAGGCAGAAAAGAAACAAAGTCCAACTAACACAAGGGTGACATTTTAATATGAGCCCTTCTTCAATAGAATTGGCAAACACAAGTCCAATTAATTTTTCAAAAACATAATTCTAGATGTCAGAAAGCAACCCACTATTAATAATTATTTTTAGTAAAGTGATGCAATTGGAAAACAGATTGAAGAAAGGAGGGGGGTCTTTTCTGAACCTCTCACCACCCCCCAAAAATGAAGTTATAATAAAATATGGAAAATAAAACTACTGTATCAAGATAAGGAAGTATTACTTTTTCTTGAAGAAGGAATTTACATTTCTAATATCTATAATCAATTACCTAGTTCAATGGAGGGAAACATTAAATATTTAATTAAACCACATTCACTCTAGATTTTGTCATCCCCTTAGAGATCTCTCTAATGCTGATAATTAACAATTTTTAATGTGTGCTTTCAAGATGTTTCATCTGAGCACTAGAGGAAACTATATTAAACATTAAAATGAAAGAAATGAACATTGAACATTAAAATGTAAGGGACCGACATTTTAACTTAAATTTGTATCTCAACAAAAGTAATAAGATTTTTGTTAATAAAGAGGTATGCAATTCACTATTAAAAATTAAGATTCAGAAACACGAGTCAGTTGTTAGAAGTCACAATATTGCAGCAGAAAGTTGTTTTTCAAAAGCAAAGTCTAAAATTATAATGTATAATTAATTCTACATTATTTTTTAATGTTTGTTGTAAAAACTCTGCTCACTTAATATGTATAATTAATTCTACATTATTTTTTAATGTTTGTTGAGAAATAGCAACTGATGACCTCTGCTCACTTAATAAAGTAAAGCATTCATTTCCATTAACGAAAACCATATAACCACTTCAGTAAGAATGATTTTTAATTTCTATTGCCAAACTTCACACTGGTAATTGCATATTGTGTGACTGTTAAAAGAATATGAAGTCATGCCAATGGCCTTTCTCTTAATAATTTTATATTATAGAATATAAATGCAGCAATACTCTCAAGATTTTTTTTCATATGCCAGCATATACATGTGAATTACCCTCGACATCAATGTATAACCAGGGTCTCATTTTCGTCATACCTAGCAACGGAGTTAAGAGCAGATGACTCAAAAGTCTCATTTTATCCAAAAATTTATATAGGCTAAGATAAATAGAGTAAAGAAAATTTTTATATAATGAAGTTCTTTGAGAATTTATATCTGTAGGACTGTATAAATACCAAAATTTTAACCTCAGGTAATCCTATTTTATTTTTAAAAAGTCATTTTAAACCTGATATCTACTATCCTTTTAGTTGTAATTTATAATTGGTCTAACTTTAAATTCCAATGAGCAGCCATTGTTTAAAAGAAAAAGACTAGAAACCAAAACTCAAATTCAAGAGGTCATCAGTTGCTATTTCTCATAAAACATATAGACAATTTTAACATCTGTAGTGGGAAGAAAATAAAGAAGTGATTTAAATTATTCACTTTTCGTTTGTATCTAAGGCATCCCAGAATTTAAAATCTAAGTATCTGATATACTGGGGGAGATGACCACATAAATCCAGCACTCGCAGGGAAGTCTTGTGTCAGTACGAAGGGGCACATTAGGACAAAGAAGCACCTTCAGCTGTTCAAGACAAGATAAAGATTTCAGTACCAATTTAAGGGCCAGTGAATGTTTTGTCTAATTTCTCATATTGGATTTTTCTGGGAAACCAGAGCCAGTCACTTAAGAGTGGGATGACACCTTGGGCAAATAAGTCTACCAAACACAAACTTAGAAAATGAGGGCTAACAAGCATGTAAGTCCAAAATCTGTTGGACACTGTCCATGGAGAGTTTGGCATCTTTCATGCTCCTACTATCCCTAGAAACACATGGGACACAGTTTTCCTACACTACATTTATAGCAGAATAGGGATTAAAGGCAATGCCTGGGTGGACCTGTGCTGAGAAGGGCAAAGTTTGTTCCCCACAGAGCTGGAAAAAAACAAACAACAGGAAAGAGACTATGGTCCCAAGCACACATCATGCAATGCCCTGGCTTTCTCGGTACCTTTCTTTCCCCCAATGCAATGCCTACCTTCCGTGTGGACTGCAGAGACATAGGTCCAATTGTAACGCTTGACTATATCTAGCATCGCCCTTGCCTGCAAGGTGTCAGAAGGGACAACCCTCAGGAAGTATTTGTACAAAGTTTTGTCACTCAGGTCGATACTCGTGGCGGAATATGCGATCTGGGGAATGTCGAAGAGCTGGAGCAGGTTCTGCACTTGAATGGCTACGGAGCTGGAGCCCGGGCCGATTACGCCCGCAATGGGCTTCTTAGTCCTGCCTGGGGGGAGGGGCTGCCCATCCGGCAGGCACCGGTTGAGTCCATCCTTCTCATCTCGAATGGAAATCAGGGAGTCCCTGATGAACTCAATGCTCTGCTCCAGAGCCACGGAGGAGTGCCAGCAGGAGTCCCGGATCTCGCTGCCCAGCGTGATGTTGGGCAGGAGGACCGGGTCTGCGTTGATCTTATCCAAGGTGTGAAACATAGCCTCCACCCTCTGGATGCCGTACTGCTCCCGGATCTCCCCGCACTTCCTCTCCGGCACCTTTTCGGCTGGAGGCTGGTGGTGGACTGAGAAAAGGGCCCCGATGATGACATCTCCGTCCATTCTGGCCACCGAGCGCTGAGATGAGGCTCCCGCCAGCAACACTTTCCTGCCAGGGCTTCTGGGCAGAAGGGACATCTCCCAAAAGATCGCTGGGAAGAAAACCAACAGGAGCCGGACCATGGTGATGAGGACGCCGTCCACAGCCGGCCAGCCACGTTCCCACGCTGGTCCCGCAGCCGCC